CAGCCTTCTGCTTGGCTGCTGGGTGTTGGGGCAGTGAGTTTGGACCCTCAAGCACCACAATGCCTAGAAAAACCCCACTCTCTGTTAGAATTATATTATTAATGTTATCAATTATGCATTTGATATGTTATGAGGTGCATGTGGTTTACGTCGTGTATCTCTGCTGCTCACTCTGCTGTCTTGCCCTGCAGAACGTCGGTGGTGGCACGGCAGTGGCCCAGGTACGCGCCACCGACCGGGACGTCGGCCTCAACAGCATCCTCTCCTACTACATCACCCGCGGGAATGAGGACCTGACCTTCCGCATGGACCGCGTCACTGGCGAGATCGCCACCCGGCCCTCCCCGCCAGACCGCGAGCGGCAGAGCTTCTATAGCCTGGTGGTCACCGTCGAGGATGAGGGCAACCCCTCCTTGTCGGTGAGCCACCAAAATGTGCTTTTTGGGGGGAGGATGGAGCTGGGTAGCACTGCGGGAGCGAGCTTAGTGTTGAGATGTTGAGCATGGAAGGGGCGAACAGGCACAGGGGGTGATGTTTCAGTGACCCAGCCATTTGGGTTATGTCTCAGGGTCCAAATCTGCTGAGTACTGGTTTGATTCAGAGCCTCCTTCTGCGCCTGGTCCTGCAGGACCTTCTCTTGCAGTTGTTCGGGGAGCTGCCGTCTCCTATCTCTAAATGCCAAAAATATCAAGACCACCCCAATGGGCAAGCATGCTTCTGGCTGCAGGAGTTGTCCTGCCTGCCGGCTCCTCACGCTCTGAGTCTGAAAGCTCTCGGGATTTTGCTCTCACCCATCTCAGGGCAGGAGGTGGGTGGAGCAGCAGCTGAACCACGGTTCAGCTCACCACGGACCAAGGTGTGTCTGCTCTGGTGCTTACAAATGAGATGAGCTTTGGTAATTAGCACTACAGCCATGGCGGTCCCTGCCATGCAAGATTTGGGCAGTTCATTAATCGTGTTGCTGCTGTCCGGAGCACCCGCCCTGCGGTGAGCGGTGTCTGGGCATGCGTTTGGGGGCTGGTACAAGACCCCGTCCATCATTCTTCGGTCTGGGGAGGTGGCCGCCTTGCTTTTTAGCTACCAGCGTGCAGGAGTGCCTGGTGGGGTGACGGCATTTGCTGCAGCCTGGCTTCTCTCCCTCGCGCCTTCCCGGCTCCAGGAATAGCAAGCCTCATTATTTGTGCCTTTAAGGAGGACTCTGGCATGGGAGAGTCAAACAAGCAAATAAAACGTTTAGGGCATCTTCCAGCCCCGAGTTCCCCCTAACCCCACGGCTCTGCGGGGAGATGTGCAAGTGTCTGCATGCACAAAGCAAGAACAAATTGTGTGATGGGGAGGCATGACACCCTCTGCAACACCCTGCCATCCTTCCTCTCCCCAGCCTCCACCTGCTATCTCTCAACATCTCTCTGATCTCTCGGCACAGCTCTCACTGCAAAGACCTGCTCTACATTTTGAGGAAACAGGTTGCAACCAGCAGTGCAAACTGTGGCTTGCAAGTCTCGCTTCAGGCTTTGCACTCTCAACTCCTCCCTCCCAGGTAGTTCACAGATGCATCACCATCTTTCTCTTAAGCCAGGCTGCCACTGTGGCTTAAATCTAGGCAAGTCTCTTTCTCCGAAATGAGAGAGCATAGCTTTGTGTAACTGCAGCACCCAATGCTGCCAGCTCCTCCCAGATGGGTCCCCATCACCTCAGCACTCTGGGAGCATCACTGATGCTGCTGTGGTGAGGAATGCCATGCACCGAGCCGGCAAATCCCATTGCCATGGCAATGCCCTCTTCCTTTCTCCATGCCGGAGACAACAAGTGACACAGCTTATCGCTTCACGCTGCCAAAGCAGTGTCCCAGCAGCCTCGCTTGCCCTCAGGGTTTCGGCTGCGTGACCACCACATCACCGGCGCAAGTTATGCCAGCAGTGATGATCAAAATCCCGCGATGCTGAAGCAAAACAAAGCACCCATTGACCCAATTCCTGAGTGGAGAGAAGAGGTTTGGCCCTTTTCGGAGCTTGAGGACACTTAGGTCTTGTGAAAGGCTGTCCCGCATGTCACTCAGTGACTACTGGCCTCATGCCTGGATGATGAAATGCTGCCTGTCAGGAGTTTGTCACCTACTAGAAACTTTGGTTTCACAAGTCTAGGCTGATGCAATGATGCGCAAAAGGGGATTATTGTTTGTAATTTGTACCTGCTTCATGTGCTTTAAGATTTGGCCTTCGGAGTGCGGGAGAGGCAGAAGAGACAGAGCTGGGAGAGGACTTGGAAGTCCTGTGATGATCTGTGATACCCAGGACAGCAAGGGCGCATGGAAGTCTGGCCATCCTCTTGGGAGCTGGAAATGCAGGGGCAAAAGGGTATAAATGCTGATGATAAAAGGAAAACATTTACCCAAAAAAGCATTGCAGGAAAGAAAACCTTCACAAGCTGGTGAGCTGCGACTGGAAAGTCTCGGTGTCCTTGCGTGGGAATTGCAGGAGTCACCCGGGCTCGGTCTGACCCTGGTGCAAGCCTGCAGCTGCACCTCCCCAAGGCCTGGCCCTGCTCCAGAGTCTTTGGGAGGCTCCCCACAGCAGAAAGAAGGATGCCTGCCCGAGGGAGCTGTGGCACCCACATGCGTCGGAGCAGGGGTCCCTCCCGGCACCCGCAGACCCCGGCACCGGCAGCTGCAGCGAGGCAGGGTGGATCGGCAAAGCTGCTGTCATGGCCCAGATGCCTATCTCGCAGCCACCCCCAGCCAGGGCTGCTTCAGCCTCTGCAGTTTCTGTTCCCATCCGCCTGCTCTGAAACAAGAGTTCAGGTGAAGCGCCGCGGCTCCTCGCTTTCCGGGCAGCAAAGCCCCCAGTGCTGATGCAGCAGAAAACAGCCAGCACCAGCGTGCTGGCTTGACCTGCGTTCCCAAACCAGGCGCTTGCAAGAGCTGGTGGGACCCGGCAAGGTCCGTGAGGGCACGAGCATCTCGCTGGGTCACCTTCACCATAAGCATCCTTGCCCAAAGGTGCAGCGCCGTGCCACCTTCTCCACCACTGGCGGGGGCCAGGGCGGGGGGCCAGCACCCAACATACCAGGGCTCCCACTCCAGCATGTCTGGAAGGTTGGGTAGCCATCGCTTCTTTCCCCTAAAAGTCTTCAGTTTTCCTTCTGGCGAGCTTTCCAGGTGGGAAACGGTCCCTGATGCCACACAGTGCCCCGACGTGCCGCATCAGTGCCCCTGGCAGAGAACGCGGCTGCTCAGCTCACCTCCGCCTGCCCAACACACATGCCTGTGGCATGGAGCATCCCAAAAAATGGGATTCCTGCAGCATAGGGAGAAACCTGTTTCCAACAAAGCTTTACTCTGTCGTCAAACCGTGCATTTGTTAGCAAACGGAGAGACTCAGAGAGGGTTTCAAAGCGGCTGGGACCTGTGGGCAGGCAAATCTCCCACATGCCTTTCCTGCTGCAGCCTCTGGGACAGGGATAGGGAAGCACCAGAGGCACTGGGTGAGCTTTCCCAGCAAAGCCGGGAAAGGGGCTGAGCCATGGGTGGCAATAAAGCACGAGTCCCGTTCTCAGGAGCTCACACCCGCGATGGGGGCATGGGTGCTGGCTTCTCCTTTACCCCTTTGCCTGTGGCCAGACCATCTTGAAGTTGCTCTCGTTGAAGCCAACGCTGGATTAACCAAATCCTGCAGCGGGCCACGGTGTCCCCGGCCTATTGCAGAGCCAAACACTGTTTCCTTCAGCCACGTAGTGTGAAAATACGGCGTGCTGCCGGGGAAGCTCTGCCCGGGCACGCTGACTGGTATAGTAATATTGCTCAGGTCTGACACTGTTTTGGTATGACTAATGTTTATGTTTGTCTAGTGGCAATTTTTTCCCCACTTTACAACAAAAACAGCAAGAGAAAAAAAAAAGACACACTCCCTTTGAGTATCAGTGTCTACCACAAGGTTTTATCTCCTTGCCAGGGGCTGAGTCACACTGGAGCCTGACCCATGGCGTCTTTTGGATAAGCGATGCTGGGGTGCTGCGTTCGGACGGAGAATGCTGTGAGGGTGCCCGCGTCCCCCGGGGCATTGCAGGGTCCTCTGGTGTGGCTGAAGGCAGTGGCCCCGGGGACGGCTGCTCTGGCCATGCTGGCCCCAGGAGGATGCGGGGAAGCCAGCCGGAGCATTTTCCACTGCCCGCTGCGAGCTCCCGTGCCTCCGCCTCTGCAGGGGCTTTCAGCCACATCACGGGAACATCCTCCAACACCCTCCAGATGAACTTTCTAATTTACAGACATTTAAAAAAAAAAAAACACCAAACAAAAACCAAACAAAACCTGTAAACTTCCTTTTTTTCTTTTAATCAGCACTGATAATAAACTCCCCTGATCCCAAGCCGAGGATAAAATTGCAGCAGTAACAAGGCTCCCCCCGATGTGTGTCCAGCTGAAAAAGCAGCAGCCTCGCAAGTCAGTGGCCATCTCAAAAGGCTGGTGGGGAAGGACGGCTCTGTCAGCGGCAGGGAGCCTCTCCCCTTCCTGTTTTGCAAAGAAAAAGGTAGCACAAGGGTGGCCGGTGACCCTGTTTTGTCTCACAGTGGATAAAGTAGTTTACCATCCGCTCCCGGAGAGGATGTTCAAAGATGCAGAAACAGGTTGGTGTTGCAGAGCTTAAACCCCTGGCAATAAGTTAAATCCTCAGGGGAGGTTTTCAGCTGCAGGTCGTCCTTCCTTCCCCGCATCCCCAGTTTTCAGCTACTCCATAAAACGTGAGCAGTACACAGTCTTGATGTTCTCCACAGAAACAGGTAGGCAAAAACTGAAATCCGGGCAAGAGAGGTTCACTTCCAGCCCCAGGTCACAGCCAGGATAGGAGATGAGGGCAGGGCCCCTACACTCAGCCTCATTTTTTAAGGCTTTGCTGCCCGTGGCCATGCTGTCCTCCCAGGGGGTCTCGGCTGGGCGAGCGTGGCGCGGTGGCTGCCTGGCCTCTCCCAGCTGCGGCTGGGGGATGCGGTTTCCTCCGGGGTCTTTAGGCTTTCAAGGAATTTGGTGAGTCAGGAACAGGATCTGGAAAAGAGCAGACCAGGGGTATTAGTCTGGCTTGCAGCTGCGGGGACACACTTCGGGAAGCAGCCAAACTCTGCTTTCGTTGACTGCGCTGGAAGGAGAAGCCTTGGGTCCTTCCTGTCTTCAAAGTCCTGGGACTTGATGTCAGCGCCCACACAATGCAAAGTTTGCAGCTGATATTTACCCCCCGCTTTCCCAGTAACCCCCATGGCTGCCTCTTTCCTTCCCATCCCTCCCGCAGTGGTCCCCATGGGGGCTCAGCATTGCCGGTCACTCACCCAGCGTCGGGAAGAAGCAGTCCCCAGGGCCGGGGGGGGACAGGGGGGTGCCAGGATCGGAGAGCAAGTGCCAGCCAGACTCGGAGGGCTGCCGGCTGGGCCTGTAGGAGAGGTGGGGTCGGGGCCGCGGCTCCGTGCTCGCCGAGGGGACCGCCTCGAAGACAGGGTTTTCGATGCCCTGGGCACTGCTGCGGGAGAGGAGAGGGTGTGAGGGGTGGGGATTAGCATTTTTACTTCAGGAGCCTTTTTTATCCCTGGGGTTTTGGCTGAGCACTGGGAGCAATCAAGCAGGGCAGGGAGCAGGTTCAGGCGGTGGCACCTCGGCTGAGAGCAAGCAGGGAGCCTGGCGCAGGGCGGGAAGCTTAACTAAAAGGCATCGTGGTTCAAGCTCTCTCGGGGCATGGGGAGACACATGCCCTTGGCCCAGGCAAAAAGAACGGAGGCACTTCCCACTCAGGGAGGGAAGAGAAACAGCGGCTGCCCGGAATGGGACAGGACCCCGGGCATGGGTGCTGCCAGCATCCCCCTCGCTCTACCCGGCGAGGATACACTCCGGCTTCAAGGGGAGGGGAGGACAAGACCCTTGCAGGGTCCAGGATGCGGGCAGAGGGGGTGCGAGGAGGTTAGGGGGAGCTGGAAGCACGTGGGTTTCCTCACCTCTCCATTCTGACGAGTTCGTGGGCACCTGCCAAAGACAAAACAGTTGGCGTGCGCACTGGCAGCCCAGCATCAAACCCACACCCGCTGCCAGCGCTGTTTGCTGGTGTCTTGTCCACATCCAATTCCTCCTCTTCCTCTGCATTCCTCCCTCCCCTTCTTCCTTCTTCAGCATCAGCCTTTCCTTTGCTCCCAAACCTCCCTTTTTGCACATCCCTGCTGCCTCCGGTCTCCCGCCTTGTTTACTCCCCAAGTCCAGCCCCAGCCCTGCCTCCTCCCAAATTGAAACCGCAGGCTCTGAACCAGAGGGAAGGAGGTGCTTCCGCCGGCGCAGGGTGAGGCGAGGTGCAGCTGTAGATCCTGGGCTGCAGCCCAGCCCCGCATGCAGCCACAGCCTGCCTGGGACACCCCCCGGGGGGCTCTGCAAACCCCCGTGCTGGTGTTTGGCTGCCCCTGCATTTGTCTGGGTAGCACCCTGTTCTTTATGTCCTCATCCCCTTTGCAGATCCCACAGCCCGCGCTACTCGGGTGGGCTGGGAGGCGAGGTGCAGCTGTAGATCCTGGGCTGCAGCCCAGCCCCGCATGCAGCCACAGCCTGCCTGGGACACCCCCCGGGGGGCTCTGCAAACCCCCGTGCTGGTGTTTGGCTGCCCCTGCATTTGTCTGGGTAGCACCCTGTTCTTTATGTCCTCATCCCCTTTGCAGATCCCACAGCCCGCGCTACTCGGGTGGGCTGGATGGCTGCACGGTGAGCGTCCCCAGCCGAGACACACGACTTTTGGTCCAGACCATGCCGATAGAAATATCCTGTAGCTAAGGTGATCCGGCTTATTTTCTCTTCCAATGCCAGTAACAACTGTGCTTCTCTGGAGACACCTCAGAAACCAGTCCCTCCCGAGTTTTGCCTTCCTTCTTGGGTTAAATAGCATCCAGGTGATGCTTTGCAGCACAGAGTGGGGAAGCTGCACCCCGACCGCAGTGAAATGGATGCATGAAGGCACGCGGCCAGTCATTTCGGCCAGGGAAGGATACCAAAAGTGCAGTTCCTGTTCTCGTGGCTGGCATCGTGCCCAATGCTGCTGCAAAAACCACTTCTCCAAAGGGTTTGCTCAGAGCCACACAGCCGCCCACCGAGCTCGGTGAGAGAAACCGCAGGGCCCCTGGCTTGCCCAAGGCTTGATGAAACAGCTCCGCTGGTTAAGGTGGTGCCCCTCTCTGCTTAATTACTGAAATCACTGGGAGCTGAGCGCAGGCAGGAGCCGGCAGCCGGCTGCACGTCAGTGCTGCCTGGTTTTCTAGGGCTGGGGCAGCCGGGGAGAGAGGCAGCTTGCTGCGGTCCTATTGCCATAGAAAAGTAAGGGGTCTTTTTAAAGATGGGGGGAGCAAAAGCACAAATAAAGCTTTTTCATTATAAATGATCCAGCCACCAAGCCAGGAGGCGTGGGGTTGCTACTCTCCCCTTAATTGGTTTAGTGGTGGACTTGGTAATGTTAGGTTAATGGTTGGACTGGATGATCTTAAAGGTCTTTTCCAACCTAAATGATTCTATGATTCTATGATTCTATTCAATCACTCAGGAGGTAAAGGTGCTATTTTGGCTGTGCGGTGGAGGGAGGGATGAATAAATGAGCCGGCTCTCGCAGTGGATGGGGAGGAAAGGGCTCAGCAGGGAGGGGACCTGGCAGCATCTTTACAGTCTCAGTGCCCCCAGCACGCTCCCGGGGTGCCTTGCGGGCATCGCAGGTCCCTCTCCTACCCCACACTCCTCGCCACAGCCTGCAGGCACAGCTGGCCTTTCCCAGGACTGCTTTCCAGGAGGCACCTGGCAGGGACCTGTCCTTGGGCCACCTTACATGGTGCCTGTGGGACTCCGGATAGCCAAATCCACTGGCCCCAGCGGGACACGTCCCATCCCATAAAGGCCATGGAAATGCAGCCCGGGAGATGAGATGGGTGTCCCTGCTGGTGGCTGGTGCAGGGTGGGTACATACGTCTGTTGCTGACCGCTTGTCTCTGCTTGTAAATCAGGAGCAAGATGAGGGGCAGGCAGAGGATGCCCACAATGCAGGCGCCTGTTGCCAGCGCAGCGGCCGTGATATCTGCAACAGAAGAGGGCAGAGCTGGAGCAGGCGGCGGGGAGGGTTCACCTTGCCTTTTCTTGGTTTCCTCCAGCTGTAGCAGAAGCACAGGGCAACACCAGCATTGCTCCATGCCTGATGCAGCGTGGCTCCCGCACGCACAGGTGGTCTGCTGCTAGCGGGACTCGTGCTGGGATACATTGCCCATTGCAGAGATAAGCTCCGAGGCATTGGTTTAGGACATTGACCAAAGTCCTTCATTGCTGGAGGACACCCCAAGGTCTTTCTTTGGTCTTGTAGATATGAGGAGAGAAGCAGGGGGCCTGATAAAGCCCTTTGAAGTCAGCAGAAAGGCTCCCCAGAAAGGCTGGCAGCCTTCGGGCACGTCTGTGGCCATCAAAGTCCATGTGGGATGGCTTGCAGCAGGGTCAAGGGCTGCCTAAATCAAGGGCAGATTCAGCTCAAGCCCTCCTCTCCTGCGCATTCTGTCCGGGAAAGCAGCCTCTTGCTCTGCATGTGTTTGGGGAAGGGGAATTTTTTTCTTTTTTGCCCAGCAGGATAGGGTGTCCAGCATTTGGGACTGGGTTAGACAGAAAGCACCACTCATGGGGAGGATGGCACAGTTTCCCATGGCTGGGCTGGCCCCAACCATGCTGCAAACCAATTTTAGCAAAATCTGCCCATTTAGCAGTCAGAAAACGGGGGTAGACAGAGAGCGCCACAGAGAAACCACCTGCATAGCAAAGTGTGGGCACCTCCAGCGTCTAGACACAGCGCCAGTGGACCCTCATGTTGTCTGAGCGCTCAAGCAAGATTTGGGTTTCCCCTGCTAGAGCATCTCTGCTCGGGGAGATGTGGCATGGGCTTGGGACGGTGGTAGGGTGTTGCAAGAAGGTCGTGTGACTCTCTATCTATCTGTCCCTTCCCATCTGCTTGTGGCAGGGGCCGCTAAATCCCTGATTGTGGGTTTTTTGGGGGCGCTCAGATGCTTTATAAACATGGGGTGAAGGATCTCCATGGGCTTCAGGACAGTCACATCTGGGTGACATGGAAACACGGGCCAAAGGAGGCTCTCCTCAGCCTAAGGACGTGCCTCTCAGGTGCACCCCATGGGCACAGCCTTGGAAATCACCCTCCCAACACCTGACCGTGAGCTTGCATCTGGACACAGGTGTGTTTAGAGCAAGTGGCCATCCCTGGTGAAATACACAGGCCAGGACAGTGAGCAGTACATTGGAGAGAGGGTTGGGTTTTTTTTTTCCCTTTACCTTTGCTGGTGGCAGTATGAAACGTGCAGTTTTGAAGCCCTCCTCTGCCTGCTGAGAAGAGAAAAGCATGTTAGATCTCAGGGGATTCGCTCAGGTAGCACAGAGCTCCCACACCTGCTAGCTGCGCTTGCCTTTGCTTGCCGGTATTGAGCAAATCAGACCAGAGCATCCCAAAAGCAAGACTTTAATCCTGGGAAGCTTACACCAAG